TCTTCCCTGTTCCCAACTTTTGCGTTCCAGTCGCCCATTATTATTAATGTATCTTGAGCACATGTTTGATCAATTTCTGACTGCAAAAGTTGGTAGAAATCTTCTCTTTCCTCCTCTTTGGCTCTAGTTGTTGGTGCATATATTTGCAATGATAGTGGTATTCACTGGACTTCCTTGTATGTGTATGGATATTATCCTGTCACTCACAACATTGTATTTCAGGATAGAGCTAGAAATGACTTTTTAAATTATGAAACCAACCCCATTTTTCCTCACGTTTTCATTAGTTATTTTTATTCAAGGATAATGTTTTCTAAGTGTATAGAACTATCCAAAGTTCTGTTTGTTGGGTTCAAAAAAAGGTTTTTTAGTTTAAATGAATTTAAACACTTAATTGTGCTTATGTGAAATCTGTGCTTTGACCAAGAAGCTGTCATCAATCACAACAGTGCAAGGAAACACTGCATAGTTCAAAATCAGAAAAAGTGTACATCAGGGATACATTCTATCTCTATACCTTCTCAATGCATATGTGGAACAGGTCATTCCATTCTGGATGCTGAATTTTATGAGGAAGAAAATGACATTAAGATTGGATGAAGACTCACCACCAACCTCCAATATGCAGATGACACAACTTTGCTTGCTAAAACTGAGGAGGACCTGAGGCATTGGCTGCAGAAGGCCAAGGACTGCAGCCTTCACGCCCAAAGTCAAGAAAACAAAGATTCTCACTGCTGGGCCAATTGACAGCATCATGATAGATGGAGAAGAGAGTGAGATTGTTAACAGTGTCAGCTTGCTTGGTTCCAAAATCAACATTCTTGGTACCAGTAGCCAAAAAAAAATCAAAAGATGAATTGCACTGGGAAAATCTGCTGTTTATCTGGAGGGACCTTTCCAAAATTCCAAGGATCAAGTATGTCATTTTAGAGACTAAGGTGTGCTTGATCCAAGCCCTGGTCTTTGCAATTATTTGTTATGCATCAGAGCGCTGGACAATGAATGAGGATGATAGGAAAAAAAAATCAATGCCTTTGAGTTGTGGTGCTGGAGAAGAATATTGAACATACTGTCAAGAGAACAAATAGATCTGTCCTAGAGAGGGTGAAACCAAGCTGCTCTTTGGAGGTAAGGATTTTGGACATGTGGCATGGGGGTACCAGTCCTTTGAGAAATCCATTATGTTTAGAAAGGTGGAGGGATGGTGCAGAAAAGGAAGACTCCAGATGAAACGGATTTACACAATAACTGGGGTACTTGAGTGTATTAGAGACAGTGAGATTGGTTCAGGATAGGACAGGGTTCAGAGCTACTGTATATAGGGTTGTTATGAGTCACAAGCAACTCGATGGCACATAACCACGATTGCTCTGAACCAAGAACCCTTTTATTTGTTTGTTTTAGGCAAGAGCGCTGCACTATAGGGAACTCTGGGTTGTTTAGTGGCAATAAGTTGTGCTATTAATCATAAAGTGCATGGTTCAAATCCATCATTTGTTCTGTGGGAGAAAGATGGGCAAGCTTGACCCATGCGACTTATTGCCTCTGAAAACCTGCTAGTTGTTGTTTAGTGCCATTGAATCACTTGCAACTCATAGGGACCCATATGCACAAAAGCCTTGAAACTTGCTTTATCTTGTGCCAACCTTATTGTCTCTTGACATACCTATCCTCATTACTCAGTCACAGAGTCATTCTATCTCCTCGAGTGTCTCTCTTGTGCTGTCTTTCCACTCTTCCAAGGTGATGTTCCTCTCCAAGGACTGGGCCCTTTTTGAAACATGCCCAAAGTATGTCAGATGAGGCCTCAGAATCCTTGCCTTAAAGGAGCAGCCTGGTTTCACCCCTCTCTAGGATGAACTTGTTTGTTCTCCTGACAGTCTGTGGTATATTCAATACTCCTCTCCAGCACCATATTTCAAAGGCATCAATTCTTTATCATGCCCAGTTATTGTCCAGCTTTCTGACACATAGCAAGTAATTGGGAAGTCTGTGGCCTGGATCAGGTGCACCTTAGTCTCCAGACTGACATCATTGCTCTTCAGTACTCTAGAGAGGTCCCTGACAGCAGACTTTGCCAGTACAATTCTTCTTGTGATTTCCTGGCTCCTGGAAAGAGTGTGGAATGTTGAGTCATGCAAACTAAAGCTGTTAACAATATCTATCCTTTCACTTGCTGAAGGGTCAGCTATTACTCAGTTTCTACACCACAGTACTTAGTAACAGCAACAAACTTGCTAGAGGCTAAAGTTGGCGGTGGTGAGTATAAAGAGCTTCAGACGTGTAGGGTGATCTCTAGTGAGGGGAGTTTTATAAAGATCCATCTTTGTTTTTTGCATATGGGTACTGTGTGAGGTTCTGTCTCACATACTTGGGGCATGTGGCCAGGAGGGACTCATCTTTGAAGAAGGACATCATGCTCAGAAGGGTGAAGGGACATCACAGGAGAGGAAGACTCTGGATGAGATGGATTGATTCAGTAACTAGGGCAATGGGGGTAGGTGTGTCGGCGTCAGTGAGACTGACTCAGGACAGGGCAGGCTTCAGAGCTGTTGTGCATAGAGTCACTATGAGTCACAGGAGACTTAACAGCACTTAAAAACAACAATATAGTATGAATACCTGCCACCACTCTCTATTGAGCTATCAAGACTAGATGTCTTTCAGGTTTGAGAAAGTTGGAACAAAGCTGCCTAAATGATTGCAGAAGACGTCTATGGTCTTAACAGGGTGTGTTTAAAAATAAATAAATAAATAAATAAAGGGGCAAATAAATGTGACTGTAGAGGATCCACACTCACAATGTTACCAGAGGGACTGTTTCTTTGCAAAGGGGAGGAGGCTGAACATCTGATTGCCTAAGACAAATTCTGAGATGATTGCCACAAGAGAAAAAAAGGTGAAGGTGATATTTCATCCTAGTTCATCCTCTCCTTACCTGACCTCTGAAATGGAGCCATTGGCCTTGAAAAGCCCAATGTCTAAAATTAATATTCTTTCCCATCTGACTAAGAAGGAACAGCTGAGCAACATGAGACCAAGGACCATATTAGTTTAAACAGGGGCTCAAAGTGGCATTTGAGAGAGAGGTTATTTCCTTTCATAACGGGATGAGTCTTTTCAGAAGACTTAAATTCTACTGATAGCAAAGACTTTTACCAGGGAATATCAGAGTAATTTTTAATTCTGCAACATTTCCTTTTATCTGTGGAACTTATTCACTGCACCTGGAGCGGCCCAAACAATATGATGTCCTCTTTTAAATGGTAATTATCACCCTCCCTTTTTTATTGCTATTCCCTCTGAAATCTTATCTTTTTATATTGTCTTAAATAATAAATTGTACTAAACTTCCGGTAAGACTTATATTTGTTGGTACAGCTTAAACATGAGCTTTTGTTTTAATGTGTTAGTCTTAATGTGGCTTCCCATTCAATCTCCGTTGACTTTGTATTTTATTTATTGTTTGTCTTGGAAATATCCATACATCTTCTTGCCTTCTTTAATAATAATTCTTTTTCAGGACAATTTGAAAACTTGCTAATAATTGTCTAGAATGTTATCTACAGATCCCTGATTTACGATTGTTTAGATTTTTTTTTCTTTGCATATGAACTCTTTATGTGATTAAGTGGAATTTGGTAGGACATTAAGTTTTAATCAGGACTCAAAAGGACTTTTAAAACGTTTTTATTGTTTGAGGAAATGTAAGTTTTCTGGCGTTAATTAGAGAAGTGTGGTGGTGTGGTTTTTTTTGTTTGTTTTTTAAGTTGCAAGCGCTCCAAGAAACAAGTTTCTTAGGTGTTCTCCAGCAGGGGGCCTCAGCATTCAGCCTTGAGATCAATCCACTACTCTGTTTCTTCTCTCTACCTCTCGCTTTCCTTATGAAATCAAGTGAGCTGTAGCCACATCCACACCATACACGCATGTGTTTATTATCGTGTGTTACGTCTATTATTTATTTTTCAAGAAAAGCACCCCAAAGAAAGCACAAGACTTTGCACTTACAGCCTTGAATGAAAATACAGAGGAAGCTCTCTGTGGACATTTTCAATATGAGCAAACAGTAAAGAAACACATATATTTTAAAAATAAACATCAACTGTTTTAAGGTCTACTTAGAGAAGTGCCCCAAAGGAGATATCATTTGTTAGAGACAGTTCCAGAGAGAGAGAGGTAACCCTCCAGGGTGATTTGATAGAGATAGGTGGAGCCAGAGTCAGTTTGTAACGCCTGTAATCCCGACCAAACCCAGATCAACTATATAGCAGATTTCAGCTGGGCACTTATTTTAAATGTTGTTCTAATTTTTGTAAATCTTATTTTAAATAATGAGTGACTGATGTCAGAAAGGACCAGTCCTTGGCAAAAGACATCATGCTGGGAAGGGTGGAGTGTCAGAAAAGAGAAGACTTTCAACAAGATGGATTGACACAGTGACTGTAACAATAGGCTCAAGTTTATTAGAGATGTTAAGGATAGCACAGGTTAGGGCAAGATTCAGCCCTATTGTTCATAGGGTTACTATGAGTTACAGTTAACTTGATGGCACCAAAAAACAGTTAAAAAAATAGTCACTGTGTAAGACTCATGCTTTCACTGTTTGCTTGTATATAAAATATGAATACAAAACAAAAATGCTTCTCTTTCTTAGTTCTAAAGCTTGAAACTGGACAGTAATATACTTATTTCTTTCCCTAATTTTAGATTCTATCTCCAGCTGTAATTAAAAAGACTTCAGAATTCTCTTCTCTTTGATTACATTCTCCAAAAGTCAAATATATCAGTATGTGATGAGTGCTATACTTGTTTCTTTCTTGCCAGCCTTGGAAAAGGGACACTCCCAAGTCATGATTGCGTGATGATTTGTAGATCCGAGACAGAGGCAAAGGAAAGCCATACTGCAGACGGTAACCTGATCGGACTCACCACCAAGATGCTAAAGGTGAATGGGCTGGAGGAAGTCAGCACCTGCTACAGCAGTTCCAGGCTGGGGAAAATGTCACTTTTTCAGTGCATGGAAAAGATTGAGAAAGTGAAATGTTTACTGCAAGAAAATTCTAGTGAACAGGATCCAAAGTCTGCAAAGAATGAGGTAACCATGTGCTAATTTAGTTCCCTTAAAAATGTTATCTTTACACTGTTCCTTCTTGCTCTGTGTGGCCATTAATTAGGACTTTTGCAAATTCTCTGGTGGTGTGGTGTGTTAAGGGTTGCATTGCTAATCGAAAAAGAGGTATTGGTTCAAGTTCTCAGGGGAGAAAGAAAGAGATGTGGTAAAGATTTGCAGCCTCAGAAATGTAGTGGGCGATGCCTATGAGCCCCAACAGACATGATAGTGAGTTTAGTTTTGGTTTTGGTTCTAATTCCATGTTGTCTCTGTGTGCAAAAGTGAAAAAGAAAAAAAAAGTTTACAAATAGGGCAATTTACATTGTATATCCATGAGAGTTATATGTGTAAACTATGCATTTGAGTATTGGTCAATGATTAAGAGGGTTGTTTGAATGCATTCCTGTCTGTAGCCTGCGCCACACCACCACTTCCTCATTCATGTCCTGTAGGTTCTTAGGTA